GGGGGGGCGGGCGGGGGTCGCGGGGCAGCGCGGCCGTGCCAGGCCGGAGGAATGCGGCCGCCCCGGCTCTCCCGGGCCCGCGGCCGCCCCGGTGCTTCCCGCCCGGGGCCGCGGCGGTGGGTGTGGGAAAGCTGCGGGTGTGCGCTTGGGCAACGGCCCCGCCACGCGCCCCGCGGCCCCCGCAGCCCCCCGAGCTCCCCGCGGCTCACGTTCACGCAGGACTTCTTTGTTTTCCCCGTTTCAGCCTCCGTTCGGGCCAAAACAACAACAACAACAATAAAGGGTTTCACATCCTCAAGCTCCCGGCCGAGGAGGGGCTCCCAGGGGTGCGGGACCCCCCCCCGGCCCAGCATCCCCAGCTGGGGTGGGGGGCTGTGGGCAGCCCCCGCCCCGCCCCGCGTGTCCCCCACGTGCCAAAAACTCGTGGGGTGATCAGGAAAGGGGCTGGCACGGGGTTGGGGGGGGTAGGGGGGCCGAGCCCGCGGTGCCACAGTTTGGAGGGGACCGCGGGGAGGGGGTCGGGGGGCTGCGGCCGCCCTTCCCGAGCGGCGGCTCCCGGGTTTCTCCTCTCTCCCTTTCTCCTTCTCCTTCCTCCCCTTTGGGCTGGACGTGCCCGGGCAGCGCCTGCTCCTTCGGCTCCCATTGATGTTCCTCCCAAACAGCCCCGCCGCCTGCCAGCAGCCTCCCGAAAAAAAAGATTTGGGAAGCCGGGGGAGGATGGGGGGGGGGGGGAGAGAGAGAAGAACCGGGGCGGGAGAGCGGGAGCGGGACAAGTGAAACCGCCTCGGGGCAGCTCCGGCTCCGGCGCTCCCCAAACGCCGCAGCGGGGGCCGGGGCTGCGCCACCAGCCTTGTCCCCCCCTCCTCGCCACCGCCCGCGGCACAAGGTGCCAGCCCTGCGCCCACTGCCCCACGCACACCCCCCAAATCCCTTCGGAGACCGGCCCCGAAGGGTCCCCCCGGTCCTCCCCGCCTCCATCCGTGTGTGTGTGTCCCCCCTCCCCCCGGGGCTCAGCGGCTCAGTTTGTGGGGGCGGCGGCGTTGCCCCCCTCGGGCTCCCTCTTGCCTCCTCCCTTGGCGGCCGACGGGTCCCCGGCGCCCTTCCCCTCGGGCTCGGCCCCGTCCTTGCCCCCGTCGTGGGTCTTCATGTGCTTGCCCAGGTGGTCGCTGCGCATGAAGACGCGGCCGCAGACGGGGCAGGCGAACTTCTTGGCGCCGGTGTGGGTCTGGAGGTGCCGCTGGAGCTCGTCGGAGCGGGTGAAGCGCTTGCCGCAGAAGAGCCAGTTGCACACGAAGGGCCGGTCGCCGCTGTGCCAGCGCAGGTGGGCTTTCAGGTGGGAGGTCTTGGCGTACGCCTTCCCGCAGCCCGGGATGTGGCAGTTGTGCAGGTGCTTGCGCTTCGCCCCCTCGGGGCACGGGCCGCCCCTCTCGGCCTCCTGGCAGTTGGGGCAGCGACACGCCGCCTGCCCCCCGCCCCTGGGCACGGCCCGCCGGGCGCCTTTGGGACGCCCCCCGCCCTCCGCCTCCGGCCCCCGCGGCTCCGGGGGACCCTCCAGCGCCTTCGCCCCCTCGGCGCCCAGGAGATGCTGCGCCGGCGGCGGCAGGAGGTGGGCGGGGGGCGCGCAGAGCTGGTGCTCCCCCCCGGGGCCGTACCCCCCCAGGGCCGGCGGCAGCCCGGGGTGCGCGGGCACCTGCAGCCCCCCGCCCTGCCCGGGGGGCAGCTCCATCCAGCTGGCCCCGGCGTGGAGGTCCCACCAGTTGACGCCCCCTCCTTCCTCGCCGGGGGCGCCGGGGTGGGGGGGCCGAAACCAGGGCTCGTAGGGGTGCGCCATGTCCGGGGGGGCAGGCAGCAGCTTGGCGTAGGCGCCGGGGGCGGCGGGGCCGTCGGGGGGCAGCTCTAACCTCGGGGGGCCATGGGGCTCGTAGGCGCCGGGGGCGGCGAAGGCCGAGTCGTCGGGCCCCGGCAGCGGCAGCTCCGGGGGGGGCAGCGGGGAGGCGAAGTCGGGGGCTCCCGGGGCGGCGGGGCCGTGCGGCTGGAAGGGCTGGAGCGGCTGCAGGTCCAGGTGGGTCGGGGAGGCGCGGGGCGCGTCCGAGGGCTGGGATCCCAGGGAGCCGCAGACCGCCGTCAGCATCGCGGGGCGGCGGCGCGCACAGACCTGCGGGGCCGAGGAGGGGTGGGCGGGGAGGGGAGGGGGAGAAGAAGAGGTGTGAGAAGAAGGGGGGGGG